AGCAGGTTCACCTGTAGGTAGAGGTGTTTGTTGCACCACATGGGGGACTGTGTGCAAATTCAGTAGGTACAGATGGTATTGAGATTGGCCCGGGCCACTGATTATGAAGAAGTGTTTCAGAGATTTGATCACTGTCTGTATGTTCAGCACATTGTCTATGCCTCACAATTACACTGGTTTAAAAAGGTGAATCTAAAGAAGACACTCAGAAGCTAATGTTAGCAGCTAAGGCTAATTGAAATCAGATAAGATACATCTTTGTTGTGATGTGCAGTGATGACTCCCAGGACAGAGCTTGTTCCCAATCGCCATTTATTGCTGGGTAAACAGAAAAAAATAATATCATTCATCACAGCTCGCTTAACAAAGGTCACCCTGCAAGCACAGGTCCAACATGGCAAACGCAAGTCAAATGTTCTTCACTAACATAAAACAAGAGGGACTGTGCAACAGGTTTGCACGGACCATGCATGCATGTAGGACAATTCTAACGGTGTCTGTATTTCATTAATACTTCATTGAACTCTCTTCTTTGTGTCCAGGAGTGCTCTCCTTACGCTGCTCATCTCTTTGATGCAGAAGATCCAAGCACACCGCTCCGGAGCATACCAGGCCTTTGTCCAGACTACTGTTTCAAATTTTGGGACAGGTGCAAAGAAACCATTCCTCTCCTATCAGAGGACTCATTTATATCCAAAATCAAAGTTAACCGGACTGACTTCTGCCAGCACGTTGAACCAGATGACATGGACTACTGTTACCCCCACCTCCTCAGCAATCAGAATCTCAATATGAATTTAGGCAAGGTACAGTCCAACTCTGATGGTTGCCTCCAGCTTTGTCTGAAAGAAGTGGCTAACGGTCTGCGAAACCCTCTAGCGATGGTGCACGCCAATGATGGCACACATCGTTTCTTTGTGGCAGAGCAGGTGGGCTTGGTTTGGACCTATCTTCCTGATTATTCAAGGCTTCAGAAGCCATTTTTGAACATTTCTAAAGTGGTTTTAACGTCATCGTGGGAAGGTGATGAAAGAGGCTTTCTGGGACTTGCCTTTCACCCCAAGTATAAGTACAACGGTAAGTTGTACGTATATTACTCTGTGGAAGTGGGCTTTGATGAGAGGATCAGGATAAGCCAGTTCCACGTGTCGACCAATGACATGAACATGGTGGATCACACTTCAGAAAGGTAAGAACACCTGGGAGACCCTTAGTAGTTTACCTAACAACATTATCAGTTTTAGACAAATGAATGATAGACTGACAAAATACAAACAAATATAACAAGAAAAGATGTTTAAAAGTGTTTGCAATTACAAAGACGATTGCAAATAGTTGTTTTTTCCAATGCAATTCTATCGTGATTGTATGATAATATGTCAGTTAAGAAGAATAGGAATACATTTTTTGTCATTAATTAACAGTTAACCTTTGCCGTCCATAATATTAACAAGAGGCTCGACTGAACCAATCAGGTGGTGAGATTAGTTTGTCAGTGTCACAGACCCATAAGATGCATTAGCAAGTCACGTTTTTACGACCGATGCCATAACTTTCCACATTTGCCTAACGAGGATGTCTTATGGAATGAAGAATGTTGTCCTGAACTTCCAAAGACAACCATTTCAAACTCTTACACACTTTAGAAATTAGGACAGTCCAATTATTATGTTACTATGTATCACATTTTGGATTTACCTACTGACTGTAAAATAATGTGTGCAAAAAGCCGGATTTGTCATGCCCCCCTGTCCTTTTAGGGTTATTCTGGAGATTGACGAACCGGCATCGAACCATAATGGAGGTCAACTTCTCTTTGCAGAGGACGGTTACTTGTACATTTTCACTGGTGATGGTGGGATGGCAGGTGACCCATTTGGGAAATATGGGAATGCTCAGAACAAGTAAGATAATGTTTAATTACATTTATATTTCAATAACACTGCCAAATAACTATTTACTATTAGTTATTAAATAGTTACTATTAACTATTTCAATAACACTGCCAAAAGTCTGTAGACGTATACAGTAATTCTATTTGTATTTGTAGTGGATTGGCACTTTGAATCCAGGTCCAGCAGAGAGTACTGTTCATGTGCACCGCAATCCAAATGTTCTGCCATGTCATTCCCGCTGTAGGTCAGCTCTCTTAGGCAAAGTTCTCCGCATTGACGTGGATGACAATGAAAAGGGTCCACTGTACAGAATTCCACCAGATAATCCCTTCATCCATGAGCAAGGAGTTCGACCTGAAGTTTATGCCTTTGGTGTTCGCAACATGTGGCGATGCTCGGTGGACCGAGGTGACCCCGCAACCAAAGAGGGACAGGGACGCATCTTCTGTGGTGATGTTGGCCAGAATAAGTTTGAAGAGGTGGACATAATTGAAAAGGGCCGGAACTACGGATGGAGAGCAAAAGAAGGCTTTTCCTGCTTTGACAAGAAGATGTGTTCCAACAGTTCACTAGGTAGTCTCTTATTCAGATGATTTGATAAAAACTGATCAAAATAGTTTTTCACGGAAGGTCACTTGAAGGGTTGTGATGGGCAATACCAGATCGTTTTGATTCGATACAATACGAAATACTTTTTTGCCATTTATTTTCAATGACGATAGATCTTGCATGACATATTAGTCTATAGATTTCATAGTACTCCGCAATACAATGACAAAGACTAGTACATTCTATTCATAACAGATTACACTACTTAATTTTATACAATGTGACCTAGTTAAACTAGTGGACTACATGGACTCACTGTCCTCTCCTGGTCTGGGAATCTTCAAGAAACCAAACCAGTCCGGTTGCTCTTGATGTAACTGCTTTGGATGTTAGGAAACCACTGATCTACGGTCTTTCAAAATATGAGATTAAGAAGCTATTTCAAATTTACAAAAGAATTGCCCTAGGCCCGTGGCACAGACAAGGGCATGGGTTAACACAGGCAGACTGAAGGTAAGCAGTGATACAGTAATGACTTTTGTTCACAGATGACGTCCTCCCCATTTATGCATACCCACACAAGGTTGGCAAATCAGTGACTGGTGGTTATGTGTACCGAGGCTGTGAATACCCCAACCTTAACGGCATGTACATATTTGGAGACTTCATGAGTGGGTAAGTTCATCTCCTGAAGCTTTATATATGTATGAAGGCACTGTCATTTATAATGCTACCATGAATAGAACATTTAATTCTTTTAGATAAAACACTAATCCTTTGTGTAGGTCCTGTGAAAATCCAAATAATTAAAAATACATATAAAATAAATATGTTATACACTAACAATTGCAATTATTAAATAAAAATGAAAATATAAAATCAGAGATATGCTGGTTATAGTGGCGATTGGATGTATCTATCCAGTGTGTGTTTAAAATTGCATATGATTGGTAAAAAAAAAAGAAGAAAAGTCCTCATCTTGCAGGCGATTGATGAGTCTGCATGAGGACAAGAACACGGGGCAGTGGAGATACAACGAAATCTGCATGGGCGTGGGCATGACCTGTGCTTTTCCTGGACTCATCAACAACTATCAGCAGTACATCATTTCCTTTGGTGAAGACGAAGCTGGTAATGCAGGAGCACAAGCACAAACAGCTCCCTGACTGTACTAGACTGTTTCCTCTGTGCTAACCCTGTTATCCTTCCTATAAGGCGAACTGTATTTCCTGTCAACTGGAATACCGAGTGCAACATCACCATCAGGAGTTGTCTATAAAGTGGTGGATCCCTCCAGGTGACTTACAGATTATTAAAACCATCATTTTTATTTTTACTTCACAGCAACACGCCTGCACAAATGCCCTCGTAACACCCAAACACGAATCTATTCCTGTATTAGTTTATTAGTAGTTAAAGCAAAGACACCTTTGTGTTCACACAAAGTTTTAATACAGGATTGTCTGCGGACTCGATACATGTTCCTTTTTTCACATCAGAAGGTGATTGAGTGCGCGTTGATTTTGCGTCACGTCTAAACAGACACATTCACGTTGTCATGTGAACGTGGCAGATCGAGTTGGAAAACGAATTGGAGAGACTACAGCAGCGATCTGCCTGGAGGAGAGCTGCAATGAAGAGTGGGAAATAAGCAGCACTGGTGAAAGCAAACATGGAGTGAAACTAGTCTCGCTGCGCAGCCAATACCACAGCTAAAGTTTATATGTTGTTCTCATCGCCTGAATGCGACAGGTCTGTTTCCATTGTGGAGGTTAAATAATGTTGTCTTGTGAGATGTTTCAGAGTATTCGTCACAGTAGGTCGAAGCAGTGTTCTAATAAGAGGGCTGTATACACCGTACTTAGATGACGAAACTGACACTTGAGATGTAGGCAGATGTACCAGGGACGCAAACATCTGTACCAAAACCCTGATAAAGTCACTGCCCCCTAGTGCTGAGGGCTGTGCAGATGTAGAAGTCCACAATTACCATTTGAAGCAGACCAGTCAGCGAATAAGCCATACTTTGAAGGACAAGGATCACATTGAGCACCTTGACGGGCCAATCAGCACACAAACTGACATGACTGAAATTTCATTGAAATGAAAAAAATATTGTTTGTTTAAATCAGGCACTGCATTTTGAACGTCTCCTTCTGCCTTGACCTTTTTTCAGACGTGCTCCACCAAGACACTGTCACTATGATCCTCTCCCTGTAAAGGTCAAATGTCAACTGGTTCCTTTTGTTCCTCAGGAAAGTGAGTCTGTCCCACTGCAGAGCACTTCAGCCCAGTTACAGTCACTGTTTTATGTCATGCACTCTTATGTTTCTAGCACCGCTTGATGTTGAGCCCTTGAGCAAAATCGTGCCTGAGCCAGAACCTACCGAATCACATGATTGGCTCCAAGAGCTACTTGACCTTCTAGAACCAAGACCAAATTTGCCATTGCCTTCCACCACCACCAAACCGCCCAGACATTCACATAGGTCAAAAGGTCGACAAAAGAAGAAAGGCAGAGCAAAGGGTACAACAGAGCTCCAGAGTGGGATGGTCAGACTGGTTGGGGATAAACATGGCCCCAATGATCGTGGACGGGTGGAGATTTATGTAAATGAGGAGTGGGGAACGGTGTGTGACGACTTTTGGACTATCGAAAACGCCCAGGTGGTTTGCCGGCAGCTGGGATTTCAGTATGCCCTGAAAGCAGCTAAAAACTCTGAGTTTGGAGAAGGGAAGGATCTTCCGATTCTACTTGATGATGTTCAGTGTAAAGGCACCGAGTCCAGCCTGCTCGAGTGCCAACACGCCAGGGTTGGGTCACATAACTGTTTCCACTCTGAAGATGCTGGCGTGATCTGTGGCAGATCTGAATTTGTAGTAGAAGTCTAGTACGTGTGCGTTCTATCACGTCAGATGTGTTTTATTGACATTACGATTTGGAGCTTAAAAAACTGACCTGATACACAAGCACACATACACATACATTTCCTGTCCACTAGGAGGCAGCACCACCTGTGAATGCATATATACTTGTAAATTCAATAGTAAAATGTTCACATATGACACAGGAGAACTAAAATCAATCTTGTTGTTGAGAAGCTTTGGATTCTTTTCATTTACTGGAAATACTCGTGAAATAAAAATGATGCAAAAAAGTTTGTGTATAGAAAAATGATCTCCTGCCTAAAACTCACATTTTTTGTACCGAATTAGTAGATTCTTCTTATTATTATTATAATAAAACACACTTCGTACAAAACGAATACATATTTATTTAAATGAGGAGATGTGCCATTCAGAGTTTTCTGTCTGTGGAGAGCAGACACAGGTTCACCTCGGACAGATGCTCATTACTGTAGCAGTGCAGTTCTCCGGGCTTGTCCAGAAACCAGTCATAGAGAACGGCTTGTGGAGTTATCTGGCAGTGTCAATACTCCTTCACTTCTTTCAGCTGCATCTGAAACACCTGATCTGAAGGGTTGTCCCCACACGCCAGTCCATTATTGGGTGGTCTCACCGAGTGAAAAAGACTCCAGTCCCCCTTGCACAGGATCCAGGGAAGCACATCCACCTTGTAATGCAAATCTGGTGAAAACTCAGTACTGATCAAATTTGGCGCTCCAGCTCCGGTCCCTCGTGTAATTAGTCTCATCTGGTCATCATAGCAGCAGTGCTGAGCCCCCAAAGTTGTGCTGTCATAGGATAGCATTGAGTGGATACAAAATCTGGCCGATGGCTTGTAGATGTCCAGACGTTCCTTGGGACCACTTGAGTCCCTCCACCGATAGGTCTTTTGAAGTCTGGAATCTGGAATGTAAACAGCTTTGTAGACGGTCTCAGAGGGGTAGACGCAGGGGCAGCTCGGGAGCTCAGTGAGCACTTGATGAAGATACTTCTGGAGAAAGTCATTCTTGCAACTTAGCCACTTGTCACAGCTGTCTACACCTGTAGAAGGTGAGATAAGGCAAAACAGCTCTCATTATAATTTTCTTTTTGTTAATATTAATATAATATATAATAATTTGTTATATGTTTTATAGTGCCTCATGAAACACGCCTGATGGATGTATTTTAAGTGGTTAAGAAATCAAATTCAAAAAAGACTCCCATCGAGTCTCACGAAGGAGATGTCACTTGTCCTCCTACAAAGCCATGAAATAGTCGACCCTCCCCCCACTCACAGTGTTACCCGGCATACAATAGCATTTGTATTATCATAATTCATGCATAATAATTCAAGTTAATATTTTAAAATGATCCATTTTGTAAGAAAATGTTATATCATTACACTGCTACATTCATTCATTAGCAGTCTCTATGTGCCTCTTTAAGGCCTTTAGCTCACTCACAAAAACATGCACGTACACATTACTGCACACTCACCAGTGCCGAGTAAACTGGTGTTGTTGGTGTTGTGGACAGGTGTCTCCAAGGTTGCTGACGCCCCAGAGTCTATATTACAGAGGAAATAAATGTATTTTATTCTGCAGAGGATCGGACAACATGCTTTACACCTTCATAGAAATCCAAATCAACATGAATGCAATGATTCTGTTTGTTTGTTTGTTTGGCGCCACAGTTATCTTGCTGTTCTCCCAAAGTTAATCCTGAGCACAGATATTATTTAGAGGGGTGCACCAGTCGACCGCCCTGTGACAGGAATCAGACAGTTTTTGGCACGATTGACCGGGACTGATGCACAGCTAGAAAACACACGCCTTGCCAGATTTGCAGCCTATCAAATTGAAAATGTGTCAATTGAAGGAAATGGGAATCACAAAGATTGCAATCAGTGTATCTCTAATTGTTTGTAGATATTTGGCAGTACTTCAATGGCAGGGTGATGAATACCAAAATACATTTATCAACATTCTGAATTGTATGATAGACTTTAAAATCCTCCACTTCAAATACCTGATGACAAGGACATGACTGGGCGCCATCATATATTATAGATCTAATAAGACCCAACAGAACACTTCATGGTCTAAAGAAAGCATGCCTACTTGAAGTGTTTAAGATAAGAAGGAGAGGCAGAGCTAACAGCTACCCGGCTCCTCACCTTTGGGGCCAGCTGCCAGTGTGGGTTCAGGAGGCCCCCAGCCTCTTTATATTCAAAGCTGTATGAATGATAGGGGCATATTTTGGGTTATACAGAAGTGACTCTTACCATAGTTGTCCCTACTGTGCCAGTTTGTGTTTAATGGCTGCCTGTCATCGACCCCCTTGGTGCTGAGGACGAGCTCCTCTGTGCTGTGTGTGTGTTCCTGAGACTCCTCTCCCAAACCGACTTGTCCTAGCCTATTTTCAGGCTCTTCTGGGTAACCCCAGAACAGGGTCCGGAACAACTCTTTGTGGCTGTTGGCCCATTCAGATGACCACGTTGACCAGTCATTGCGCTGACCCTCCTTGGCTAAGTCCATCTCAATCTCCATCTCAGTCTGGCCATTGTCCATCACCTCGATGGTCACCTGATTGAAAGAAAATAAAACGTATTACAGGTAAAGATGCATTCCAAAATGTACGTATGCATGTATGGCTGTATGTGTGGTTCCATAGTGTAGTGATTAGCACGCCTGCCTTGGAAACAGAGAGTTCTTGGTTCGATTCCCAGAGGAACTACATGCTTGATAATGTTAATTGTGTACAATACATATATTTATACATATATATGTACATATACAGTATGTATGTATATACCTGGATGTTAGGGTTCTGTGAGCTTATGTCTGCATCTGCCAGCTCTGGGAAGTTCTGTAGGTCTATGATGAAGGGCTTGATGTCCTCCTCAGGTTCAGGTTCAGGGAGTTGCTGGGACCAGTGGTGTCTGGACTTAAGTGACGATGAACTGGTTGATAGAGTCTGAAAAAGATTATCCTGCTGCAGCTCCAAGAATGTACCATGACCTTCACGACTGCTACGCTTTCCAATCACCTGGAAAAAGTCAGAAAGAGTCGAGTAGATATTTCCTGGGGAAAACCACCAGATGCTCAAAATCATAATTTATTTTCAAGTGATGATTAACTGTAACAAAAACTGAAAATGCAGGCCAGAAATTCTTGAAGTACAACATTAAGTAAGGCTGATCTTTGCATAGTAACAATTTTTTTTGTAATCATTAGACAAAAGAGTTTATTCATTGTCTTTTCTTAAATGTTTATTTTATTTTATTTATTTTTTTGTATTGTACTTTTGAAGCCACTTTATGTTTGGTAACACAGACCCTTTCATTTCATTTCCCAGAAGGTTTGGTGTACAGTGGTGTTTCCCAAACTTTTTTGGGACCCATATTTTCACTTGAAAATAGGTTCCTTCTGTTTCCTCTAGGAGTCGTCTCTGTGCTAACATCTACCTAACCCTCCGTCCGTTCTGCCTTCCCAGGTAGTCGCCACCGCTCTTTTTCAACCTTTATCTACATCCACCACAGAACAAACTCAATCACAGCGATTGTAGTTTGATTCCAAGACGGAGGATATTTTCAGGAAGTGTCAGTGGGACAATGTGTCCTGTCCTCACTTTCTCCATGTGCTGTTAGTACCAAACCATCTGTCAGCAGCACAGGACCAGGATGCAAAATACAGTGAAAGTCTGTTCTAAAATCTCTAGACATCTGGTTTTGAGCACTTTCATCCGTGTGAGCAGCGGACTCGGAGGACAGCATACTTCAGGACCCCACCCGTGCTCTCCCTCAGGACCCTGGCTCTGCTGACCAGGCTACAGGACACAGGGGAGAAGAGTGACCTTTGTTCCTGGGACACAACTTAGAGGCTCCTCCCCCCCACTACCACTGCTCCAACCCAACAACTCCTCAACTGCTACCCAACCCCCGTCAGACACTCCACACAACCCCCTCATAAATACACACATACTGTAATGTCCCGCCCATTTCACCTCGCTCACCTTTTAACACACTAACTCCCCTGGCTCTCCCTCCCCAGCCTCACACTGGACCACTGAGAGACTGTTTCTGCCTGACTGTACTTCAATTACTTGTAATAGTCTTTACTTGGATGCTGGGGTGATAATCAGATTTCATTGATGCGGTCCGTCCCCATCTCTCAGCATGTTCAAATGTTTTAAAAAATGTCATTAAAAATAATAGTATTTATAGCAATCTTCCATAATAGTCCATGTTAATATTATTTTATTTATCTTAACAATAGTTTTAGGGGGACTACTTTATAGTGTGGGGATCACAACTTTGTTTGGCTTTAGTGGCTCTGCATAAATGCAACGCCACTAAAGCCACGTGATTGGATAATTTCTAGTATACACAGAGTAGAAGTTGCTGAATGGATACTTGGTCTGCAAGATTTAAAAAAATAAAAACATCAAAAAGACATTCAAAATACTGTATATGAAGACTCAATAAGCAGATGTGGAAGTGGAGGAAGCGATTCTAGTTGGTTTCTGGGTCAGTTTTGTCAGGGTGCAAAGGAAGGAGCCACTGAAACTAATAAAGGAGTTTGGCTTTCATAAAGTTGGGAAATAAACACTGCAAGGATCTATTGGACAGAAGGACAGAATGCCCTGGGTTCAGGCCCCAGAGGAACCACATCCTTACTGGTGCCTCCTGTGGCAGCCCGTGTGGGTTGCAATTCAACTTCACCAAAAATTCAGACACATACACATACCTGTGAGTATCCCATTAATCTCACCATTCAGCATTTTTTGAATCATGAAAAAAAAAACAATTGATGTATGAGGAGAACATGCAAACTGCATACAGAAAGACCTAGAATGGAACGCTGAAGTGAGTGTTTACATGAACTATATTAATGTTATGTTAAACACAATGCTTCAACTTTTGGTGAGTGACTGGACAACTTATGGCCAAGCCATTTAAAAAAAACGCGGCCTTAATAGGTTACATGTCCCAGAAAACCTAGTTACTATGGGCTAACAGCTAACCTGAGCTAATTAGATAAGAATCTCCAGCAACAGTTGTGTGGCAGTTTTCTTAATTAAATGTACTGCACGTGACTGCAATACAAAATACTTACGACTTAGTACCTGGTGCCCAAACTATTATACCAAGTAAAGTGAAACCTGATGTAGAGATGTAAACATTGGGGCAGCAATGTTTTCTCAACAGCAATTATTCTATAAAGGAGGTAAACAGAGTCAGAGTCTGACAGTGTGTATATGAGGGATGTTCAGTTATGCAAGAATTCAAATTCACTAAGAAATGTAATTGTTTTTTAAACGTGTATTCACTTTATCAGCGCTAAATGATGGCATTAAAGTTCATGCATCCTTGTAAAGAAGGATTTGACTTTGTGTTGTCATACCATCTCTCACACACACGTTGTTCAACTTTACCTTCAAGTCAGTTACAAATCCTGGAATGTTGCCGTGCGTTATCGGCGTTGTCTCTACATTAACGGGATATCCGCTCACAGCAGAAGACAGCACAGTGAAGACCGACAACAAAAGCGAGGACACTTTCATCTGCTGCATCTTCCAACCTCGAACTGAGGACACGAACGGGCGGCCGTTGTTTTAGATCCGGGAGCAGCTTCTTCACCTTCGACGTGAAGACGCACTTCAGGGTTCTGCAAATCTCTGCATGTGTCTCCTTCGTAAGTTCTTCCACTCTGGGAAGGCTTGGACAATTTATGCGTCACAAAGTAACTCCAGAGTGTACGGCTGCTGCCGTGAGTTCATGGCCACTGAGGGAACCAGCAGCGGTGTTAAGGGTGTGTTCTGCAGCAGTTTCTTCCAACATTAGTGAGAGTAAAAACACCGTGACCCCACTCTGCCGTCTTCTGTCCAGACTGACTGAAGAAAGCCTGCCCTCTGCCTGATGACGCAATCAAGCACAACAACTTGAACATCAGAGTGAGCGTTTCTCAACCTTTTTTGAGCCATGACACAAGTTCTAACTTTATCACTACCAAACATGATGTTACAAAGGTATATGTAATAAAACTTCAGAGAAAGACAAACGTCTTCAACGGCAAGTTTTTATAGCCATCTGCTGCCACCTAGTGGATCACAATCATATTTTTCTGTCACTGTCGCAGGGGTCTACACCAGGCTCCTCAGTGTCGCTAACTCGCCACATTAGCCCCCAAACTAGAAAACAATGACAATTAAATTTTGCCCTGGTTGATTTTTATTTATTTATTTTAAGTGTTTTATTTGTCAGTTATGTAGAATGAAAACGAACAGTTACAGTACAAATTGTCAAAAGCTATAGGTGGAAAACACTTACAGATAGAAACATTCTTACTAGGTGGCACATTTTAAGCACCTTTTAAATGCAGGAGGTAAAGACACTAAAGCAGAGGAGTTACGTCAAATATCCCATATTTCAAAGACAGAACAGGATTAACATGTATTCAACAGTTTAGTGTTTTACCAAGACGTCACTGATCATGGAGTCGACAGGTAACCACGGTAAGCACAGGGGGGAAAATGTTTTCCATCAACGTGATTAACAATTTAAACTTTAGTGATCCCACACTTGAAATACTGTTGTGTTAACAGCAGATCTGCTGCAACAGGCTGCCCCTCGAAGGAGCCAAGTATATGATTCTTCGGGGGTCAAACCCAAGACCTTACAGTATGTACATTAGGCAGATGTAAGCAGGCCTGATTACTGCTCCATTATGGAACCACTGTTAGTGTTGGAATCAAAGAAATCTGAATTGTGAGTTGCTCTTTGTATGTAATACACATCTGACCACTGCAGTGATTTACCAAACCCATTTACCAAACACCATAAACACTAGAGACTTTTATTTACAGACAGTCATGCTCATGTCAAGCTCTGGTGTCACACATAAAGAGACGTGGCTACAGCCCGCGAGCCTAGTGTTTGACATAAGCGTACTAAAGCTGCGTTTGTATTACAGGCTGTAAGGACAGGATGGGTAGTGGGCTCAATGTCCTGTGACGTCACGGGTGTCTTTTTCTTGGCTCAGCAATCTTAATAAAACCTTACATGAACAGGCTAGGCAAAAATGTTATTAGTAACAAACTGTGGGAACTAAGGCAAAGTGGAATTAGTTAAATATCAGCTGTAGTATATTTGACCTTGTTTTTTGATTAGCCTTACGTTAGCAGCACTGCAGAGAGAGAGAGAGAGACAGAGAGAGAGAAGCCGAGTAAGCTCTGTGGCAGCGTCTCTCTCGCTCCCTCTCACGCACGCGCACGCACACAGTGATACGGACACACGACTGGACGCAGGTGGTAACCCTTGTCGGTCGCTTGACAACACTGACACCGACTTATCCTGCTCCCTCGCGGACAGACAGTTTTGGGTGTGTTCGGTTATTAAAGCAGAGGATGAAACCTGTCCATGTTCCCGCCGCGGTGGACAAAGCTATGAGTCACTGGCTGCTTTTCGCTCTGCTCGGGCTATGGTGAGTGTTAATGGACCGGTACGTACTGACAGGACGACATACGTTCTGCCTATAGGCGATATACGACAGTTTTATTGCTTTGTTAGCGAAAATGACATTGGTACGGTACGTTAAAATGTTCCCCATCACGTCTGTGTGCGCCCGCGCACGCGCTGCTGATGCGGCGGCCTTGAGAGACAAGGCATGGAGGAGTCAACTTCATTATCACCTTGTGCAGGAAGATAAGGCGACGTTGCAATTGTGTTTTCAAATGGTCTGACCATAACAGTTTACTGTAAAGTTTGACAGTTATTTGACTCTAAACAACCGTTGCTCCGATAGAGCTAAATGTTAATAGTCTTTAACTGTCCTAAAATGATTTCATATGATAATTTAGCCGGGTGTTAACTGTATCAGAATAACTATATACAGTATATATCAGGAGTACAATTAAGAAAACCCTTTCATTGAGAATAAACAATAAACAAACATTGAGGAAAAATAACCCATTATAAAAGGTGTTTAGCTAATAATGCGCCGTATGTACGGCAGCGATTGTACCCTAAGTTGACTTTACACAGTACAAAACCGTAGGATTGTGCTGCTCGATTTTGGGGGGAAAACATCGTAATCATTATAATCACGATTATTATTTTTGGTCAATATTTAAAGAGCGATTTTTAAACAAAAAATGATGACTTCTTTAAATCTAAAATTTAGTTTTCTCAAGTATAGTAGTCTGACCTTTTTTGTTATAGGACTCAAAATAGGCTAGGGCAAACTACACTTCTGTTTTTTTTTACTCTTTGTCCTTCGGCTTTACAGTGCTGCATTTGGGCCAAGTAAACAAGAAGAGGAAGACTACGAAGACGTGCCCATTAATCGGACATGGGTCCTGTCACCAAAGGTTTATGAGAGTGATGTAACGTTGATCCTGAATAAACTGCTGCAGGGCTACGACAACAAGCTGCGCCCTGACATTGGAGGCAAGTCAGGCTCAGTCTTCATCAGTTTTTTTAATTATCACTTTGCTGTAATTTATCACTTTACTACAACATCACCTTACAACTTTCGGGCCATGTATTTGGAACACAAACAGATTATATGTCTTCTATATCTCAACCAGGTTGACGCACCACCAATCCCTCCAAGGCAGCTTGTTTAATTATACTAAAATGACCGGAACACACACACACATATACATATAAATATAAATATATATATCCACATATAACACACACACACATATAAATATAAATATATATATATATATTTGATTTTAAATTTTACAAAGGAAATGCATTTTTACATGTCTTTATTGTGTGGCCATCGTATGTTTTATCTCTCACACCCCCATTGCCATAGTAACATCCAGACTTTAATTTAAAGTCACAGGCATAGTCATCCATCAAATATGTCCCACTGCCTGTTTCTTTTAATAAAACATCCAGGTTGCCCCAGACTGTGGGCAGAGGCAGGCGACATCAGCCGTGACCGCTTCTAAAGCTATACTCTACTAAACCAAATGATAAAAGACCTTCAAACTGCTGCAGGCTGTGGGGAAGTGTTTGATGTAGTTGAGAATGAGCGTCTGGTCCTCTACAGTGTTCTTTTTAGTCAGTTGTGTACCTCTTCTATTGCATTCCAGTGAGACCAACAGTTATTGAAACAGCCGTGTATGTCAACAGCATTGGACCAGTGGACCCCATCAACATGGTAAGACCAGTTTCTTTCTCAGTCCACACAACTCCCATTACTAGTCGTTGACATAAGGTTTTTAAAACATTGACATTTATGAATGAGATGTGGTACATACATGAAAACATACTGTTTGATTTTAGTGAGGTATTCAAAAATATGTTATTTATGATTTTACTTAACTTTGTTACAGGAATACACCATTGACATCTTCTTTGCCCAAACATGGTACGACAGCCGTCTGAAGTTCAACAGTACTATGAAGGTGCTTATGCTCAACAGTAACATGGTAGGCAAAATTTGGATTCCTGACACATTCTTCAGAAACTCCCGAAAATCAGATGCCCACTGGATCACAACTCCCAATCGCCTCCTGAGGCTTTGGAGCAATGGGAGAGTCATGTACACGTTGAGGTATGATGTGTGTGCTGTACGGTTAATACCTTACATGATAATATTTTGTACTGAACTGTAGCACTGACTCTTAAAGAAGTCCTGTTGTTTGTGTAGCTTTAGTGTGTGAATCTGTGTTCTTGTCTGTCATGTTTATTTTTGTACATCTTTCGGAGTAACAACAAGGTACCTGTTATGTTTGTTCACTCTTGAGAGGGACACAAGCAATACTGAGACTTGCCTTTTGTCTGTCGCAATTCTGTTTCTGTCAGGTTGACTATTAATGCGGAGTGTTACCTTAAGCTGCATAACTTTCCAATGGATGAGCACTCATGTCCCCTGGAGTTTTCAAGCTGTACGTGGTTAAAGATTTTTGTACCTGCCATCTCAATTTCAAGCCAAGCAGCTAAGCCAAAAAGCTTACTTGCAAAGCTTCAAATTCAAACTGAGCCATCTGCTTGAAGCTGTTCTACCTTGGACTATTGTAATTTATTTTCCGCTGCAGTTAACAGGGAGGCCACTTCTCACATTATTTATGAAAGACTCTGCATTATGCACCCAAGGTCCATGCTGTCTGTGTCATGCTTCATTTGTCTTGTGCATTGTGCTGTAGCTCACTGTGATATTCCACAAACATAATATCACAGCGTCAAGACAAACAGGCCAGTCTTCAGTCTGACTAAATGCCATCAAATGAGCATAAACTCTTACTTTGATGAAACCCAATATGAGCATTCCAATGTCAGCAAACAGAAAAGAATATACTGACATTCCAATGTCAGCAAACAGAAAACAAGATGCTGATTTCGTCCAACTAACACATAGAGCAGAGTAAGTGCAATTTGAACAAAGCCGTAGCCTTGCAGAACTCACTGATCGCTTCACTCTCCTCTGGGACCAGCAGAGACTCGTATTGATTTTCTACACTAGGAATTCTAGAAGCTCTGTCAGCGTATGGTCCAAAAGTCATGTAGCTGTTTTTTGTGTTTTTATGAGGTTGAGGAGGCAGATCGAGGATGCTGAGATTTTCACTCGGAGTGAAGAGGATTAGAAATGAGCAGATGAGAGGGTCAGTGAAAGTGGAGATGGTTTGGAGATAACGTTAGAGAGGAGAGATGCAGATGATTTGGAAAAGTGGTGAGGAGAGAATGAATATATATGAGACAAAGGATGTTGGAGATGGAGTTGATAGGCAAGAGATCTCACAGGAGATTTGTGGATGTTGTAAAAGAGGACCTGGAGATAGAGTTAGATGGAGGCAAATGATCCGCTGTGGTGACCCCTGAAGGGAACTGTCGAAATGAGAAGGAACGTAGTAGGGATGTCTGATATTAACTTTTTGCCGATATCCGATGTCAATTTTGTTTAAACATTTAATTTCCAATTCCTATATCAACCAATACCAATATTTATTTATTTATTAATCTGTACAAACCACTGTATTAGTTGCAGGCACCAGCATTCTGCATAAAATCCCCTGATTATTAAAATAGATTAATTAAATGAGCTACAATGCTGCCATCTAGTGACGTTCACTTTAATATACATCCGTTTATCCCCCAAACCATTTTTAGGGCACACATCCATTGGCGAAACCGAGGCATTGTGTTATCGGTTTTCATTATCGGAGGAAAAAAAAACAATAATGATATTTACAGATATTACATAATTATGCTAACATCGGGCCTATAATATCAGTCATCCGATATTATCTGAGAAGAGGGCAGGCAGAAGTAAAACAAGAAAAGATAAAATCTTGATCTTAATTAAAAGATCTTCATTAAATTACTGTAGACGAGAAAGAAACATACTTTTCCAATTTGCTCATTTGACTAAGTTTCCTGAGACTGAGAAGGTCTGATCCATTATGAATGCTCAATTCACTTTGCCATGTTGCACTGCTCCTGTGTTTTACAGTGGGACAGACGTCGTCTTTCTGTACTGCTGCCCTTAGTGATGTGGCAACTGAGTAATCTTTTATTTGTCTGTGTTGGGTGTGGGTTCTGCAGATGGTTATCCGAAGAATGAGATCATGTACAGGTGGCAAAGACGAGCAGTAGAGGTGGCCGACCAGCGCTACTGGAGACTCTACCAGTTTGCCTTTGTAGGGTTGAGGAACACCTCAGATTTAGCTCACACCCATTCAGGTAAGTTAGTTAACTTTAAAATGTGGTGTGTTATTCTAAGAATTCTGGAATGTGGTGGAATGTGGTGACCACTAAAAGTAACTTCACACCCTTTAATGTTCATCTGCACTTCAGGAAAAAAGTGGAGGAATTTCATTGCACATTTTGACCCTCATTTTACACCTAATTTGATTTTTCTATTTTGCTCTTATATATGCTCTGATTCTCAAGTTTCCGGTGGAACCTGAAAGCACATTGTTTGACAGCTGCAATTTTGGCATGGCGACGTTATAATCTCGCTAGCATGTAGCTAGACAAGCAGACCAACAGACACACCCACGAGAGAGGTTGATGCTGTCTGGGGAGGCCTTGGCATGGACGAGTTAGGGAACTCCTGTTCTAATCATCTGTCTTTCTAATTAAATCTTTAGGGGAATACGTCATCATGACAATCTTTTTTGACCTGAGTAGAAGAATGGGCTATTTCACCATCCAGACTTATATTCCCTGCAGTATGATAGTGGTTTTGTCCTGGGTTTCCTTTTGGATCAACAAGGATGCTGTCCCAGCTCGCACATCTCTAGGTGTGATTTCTCTTTAAACTAATTTTGCTCAATGACCTTTCTCAAATATCACTGATGTTATATTGTTTTTGACGACACCTTATATAGGTATAACTACAGTGCTCACCATGACAACTCTGAGCACTATCTCCAGGAAGTCCCTGCCTAAGGTTTCCTATGTGACTGCCATGGACCTCTTTGTCTCTGTTTGCTTTATTTTTACCTTTGCGGCCCTCATGGAGTACGGCACCCTGCACTACTTCACCAGCAACAGACAGACTAAGAAGACCAAGGCCAATAACACACAGCTACTACAGGTAACGCCAGTTGTCAAAGAGCAAAGGTATGGTTGTAGGAACCAATACCCATTTATTAATAGAAATGCTGAGATTGCAATTTCCTTGGTTTATGTTGAATGACTTTTTGGCTATTTTGATTTACGTCAACATAACTTATAAATGAATTTATTGAATTACAAAAGAAATAAGTTCACAGACCACTTTTTACTTTACCAGCAAACAAAACTAAAAATGGAAAAAAGGTTTTAAAAAATAAATACTTTATTTAAAAAACAAAACACAGCTTATTCAGTTATTTGCATATGTTTTTTTTTTCACAGCTAAAAGCATCTAGCATGAACATTCGACCTGGAACCTCCCTGCTGCAAATGAACAACATTACTTCATACCATGAAGAGGACGACTATGTACACGAGTGTTTAGATGGAAAGGACTGTGCCAGTTTTTTCTGCTGCTTTGATGATTGCCGTTCGGGTGCCTGGCGTGAAAACAAGATGCACGTACGGGTTTCCAAGATTGACTCTTATTCACGGATATTCTTTCCCACTGCTTTTTGTCTTTTTAACCTGGTTTATTGGGTAGGTTATCTGTACCTGTAAAATCAGTCAATTTCAATGCAGCCAGCAGAAATTTGACATGTGCAAATGTTTTACAGAAGAAGAGCTGCTCTTGTGGAAAATCAGAGCAATGAAGGAAACAGTTTTACCCAAAGATAAAATGTCAATTTCAACAACAATGACTTTTTTCATGCCAGCACTGGGAAATGACAATTAAGTCACATTGGAATTCCAAATTCTGAAGCAACAGCATTGTTTCAATTCCCTTTATAATGCATACAATAGAATTAAGAAGTGTGAAATTAATTATAAAGGGAATGGAATTCTTTAATTTCTCACATTCTATGAAACAAAATACCTCTGTATGCAGATGATATTGTAAATACATTTTCAATTATTTAACATTCAAAGCAAAGGTAGCTAATGTAGGTCATATACTACTGAATAGAAATCATTTTATTATTTAAATATACGTTTACAACAGCAAACAAATATCACTGACCATATAATATCATATCCATGTTGGAATTCAATTAATAGTTCCAGTTATTCGGATTCTCAACTCAAACAGAAAAGTGTTTCTGTTTTAACAGAAAGTCTGAAAAGAAGAGAAGACAGAAAGGTTGAGATGTCATGCCGTAGTTTTACTTCTTGGTGATGCTGCAGTAATTGTTGTTTACTAACAAAAACAATCATTTACACATAGTGTAGCAAAACTATACGTGTGTACAAACCCAAAATCTGCTAATTATTATTTTTTTAAACAAGAGAAAATGGACTGAAAAGAAGATACATTAGGTTCTATCACAGCCAGAATTTAATATATAAATATATACATTAATATTCCCTAATATCAGAGTTTAAGCCTCAGTAGATCGGCATTAATTCCTTTTTCAGGAAGCATTTTTGATGGCGATCATAAATTTAGCAACTGCCACAACGGCAGCTCAGATTCTAAACATATATGTACATTTGAAGTCATCACTCCACACAGGAGAGACATTAATGTCATCTACATATTAATCATTTACATGTAGCACCTGTTAAATTTACTTACAAATGATAACCTCTATAAACAGTTTGTAGCTTCCCATCAGTAATGAAGTTTTTGGAGGAGTACCCAAGCAGCTTTTTGTTTATTTTCAAAATTCTATTGCAATTCCCATGAACTGCAGAGTTTAACGCTGTTCGTGTAGCAGTCTGGGGGTGTTGTATTTTACAGAGAAGAACTGTGCCAGGCAAATTGTTGTCATTGCGAAGGCATTATATCAGTCACTAGTTATGTTGTCATTCATCTCTGAACACTCCCAAGACCATGGAAGTCCAAGAAGTCTACACTCCAAAGCCTTTGCAAATTTGCAATTGGACCAGTGCCATGTCAGCATTTAAAACTGAACTTTAAACGTGCCAAGTTAATAGGTTAATTTACAAAAAAAGAAATAAAAAAAACATGTTGGTATTGTAAAAGTGAAAATAATCAAATTTTTTTCTGCAAGTATCAAAATTCTGGAACCAATGTTGGGTTGAAGCCATTGTGTGTTAACTGTCTTGTTGAGAGTTTTCTGAAGCCATGTAAGTCTTTTGTTTTTGTAACGTGTCTCTAAACCTTGAGGTCACCTATTCCTTTTGTGATACTGTTAAGCTTTCACTTCCCCATGCATGCATTAAAATGTACCTCTACATTTTTCTTGAATTTCTGTTATGTGCAAATGCCTTTGAATGATTATGTATTCACTTCAAGTGAATAATAAAAAACAAAAAATATACCTTATATATATATATGTATATTTACATGTTTTTTCATTTCACTCAAAACTTCATTGTACATTGATCTGCCTTTATGGCTTTAAGTGAAACCTCTGATGAGATGAAACACTGCTTGAAGAATAGATCAGTGGTTCCCTAACCATTTTGACCGTGCAACCCTTCTATATGCAAAAATGTATTCATAGTTTAACTGAATTAAGTTTACTAAAACTAAACCGTTCAATGAGGTTGAAGCGTGTCAAACATAGTATGTTTTGGTTATGAGCAAAGGTTACTGTAAGAGTTGAAGAAAATCTAAGTATGGCTTTAAGAACTTTCATCCACTTCGAAATATTCCCATTATGGTAATAAGCTAAATGATTTCAGTTGTTTCTGAACAGGATTGAACATAGACGAACATATCATTTTATGAATAGTTACTCAATTCTTGTTGCACTGTCTTTGCACTTCTGTTTTGACCCCTTTTATTACAAGTAGAAATTATTTTAATTTTTCTCTTGGTTCCAAACACTTGACTTTCCCAACACAGAAAAACCCAGAACATTTAATATAGTTGTATTTATTCATGTAACATACAGGGCTGCATGTAACATACAAGTTAAAATGTGCCAGTCTTTGTTTAAATGACAGAAAGGAGAGGTCAAAGATGCCGAGTGGAAATCTCAGCCAATTGTGTGCGCATGGCTTCAGGTTGTGGCTGGTAGATGGGATGGGAAGGAAAGATCACATTGGACACCAGACATTTATTCTCTCTTTTTGTAGTCCTCAAGGTGGGACAGGACCCACCCTGCTGGTCCCAGGATGACCACGGTAAACAAACCCAATCCAACGGCCGTTTCCTGAATAAAAATCATGAACATTTAGTAAACTTGGCATCAGGGTATAAAACTATTTTAAACATGTGTTCACATACACCAATTTGAGCTGGATTAGGATAAAGAAAATGGAAGTGTACAGAAGCAAGGATGAAAAGGAAAGGCGGGACTATAGAGCAGTTATTCAACAATAGATTCACTTATGCCAGATTAAAACCAAGAAATTCAGCTGCCTACGGCATACGGACCAAAAAACTAAATTGAAATGTTTTCAGGGCCCCAAGAGTGTGCTAGGGTAAAAATATTATCTTTACAAATTTCTTTGATTCAAAACACAAATTCTAATCCAGTGGTTCTCACCAGTGGTACGCGAGCGCTCTCTAGTGGTACGCGGGGAATATACATATTTTCACGTTTACATTTTCAACTGAATTAATCTGAAACATACCATACACAATAGAACATTTTAACATCTTTATAAACATTTATAAATGATCATCTTTATTTAATAGTGGCAACCAAAATCGGAATTGTGATTAAAATGTGATTGTGCAGCCCTACTTCATCACTGCATTTGACTTTATATAGACACAACTAGCCTGTAAATAATGACAATGGAGCGCATAGAACATAATAATAATAATAGTAATAATAATAATAGTGACAAATCTTCGTACTGGTGGGACGTTACAAGAAACAAGACATAGACACAGATTTTAAAGAGTTAAAATACATTTCAACAGTAAATATCACAACCTTTCCTGTTTCATGTTATGCATCTGACGTTGAATCGACTCTTCTATCTTTGCCTGTTAGCACCGCGTACCCTTCATAAATAAACGTGGTTACGGTTTATTCTAGTTTACCTTCATAATTCTGTATTGTTTTTGTAATAATTTATGGCATGTGATCATTTGAGGTATGTTTTAATAAAATGTTGAGCCACATTGGCGTCCAGCTAGCTTTCTTAGCTTGAAACACAGAAAAATAAATTGTCTATTTCTCAGATTTCACACTTAGCAAGCACTAGTCGCTATGCACTGCGTCACGACAGCGTTAACATATACAATAAACAAAACTGACAATTATTTGCGTTTTCGATCAGAGAACTCGGTTTTGACCTCGGCCGACAAGGACACATTAGCGCATTGCTTTCGTTAGCATAGCATACTTACAACTGCGGCTATGTTTTCTTTAGCCGGTTTGCCGGTGATGTTGGCTCGCTGAGTGAGGTTGTGTTGCCGAAGTGTTTGAGCAACACGGCTCGCGAACATCCTTTGGAAAATCGGCATGTTGGTCTCTGAAGGAGTTGACTCGAGTCAAAATAGTAGTAGCTTCTGCAGGAAAGGAAGTGCTTATGTACGTGCGTTTCTTCTGCTGCTGATTTTCCTTGGGCGTGAGGCGGTACCGGAAACAGTTGCTGCCATCTAACGGAGGAGAACATTAAAACCGCATACTTTGTGGCGTGTGGTTCACACCGACGTTCTGATCTGAAATGACGACTATTCCAACAAAATTCTTACGAACAATATCCCCCAAACACGGCTGTACCTTTTAAGCCTTTAAAGAAAGCAAAAAAAAAAAAAAAAAATTTAACTAATACAGCATTTAATAAGTGATTCTTACTTGTTATAATTGTAAAACATTGCGGAAACAACAGGTCTATTTTATGAATGTTACAATATTAAAAAATAAAAGTTTTTCTATGACTAAATATAATCCTAATATCTTTCCAATATATTCAACTGAACTCCATTTGTCGGATAAATCTTAGCTGGTACTTCTTAACAGAATAAGTAATAAATAATATTGCTGATATTCAAGTATAACATTACAGAAATAATAGTGTGAAAATAATCTTTAAAAAAATCTCATGTATTTGCCGTGGCAGCGTACTCTCTTGCGTTGTGTTAAATAATTGCGGGAATCAGCTTGGTATTTCATCTTTTATTTCAGGCATTAAAAGTGAAAACAAAGTCAGTCCATTTTGGGAGCAACACAAACAGGTCTGAAGCTGAAAATATAAAGTAAATAACAGTACAGTTAATGATAAAATTAATAAAATCAAATTGATTATTGACGGACCTCCTAACATGTGCCCCTACCATAATACAAAGTATGGACCACACATGCGAGAGGGCCTTGTCAGTTGTCTCAGTGGCAGTAACTGTCCAATAGAGGGTGGTGTTGCCTCGCAGATGCGGGAACAGAGATTGCTGTGCTTCATTATTGAAAAAAACGATAAGCTATAGTTTTTTAGTCCAAACTGTCTAAACAAGAAAAAAAAAATCACTGATCGAATACTATTGGTTAGCATTGCTGGTAGCTCTGAATGGAGTTTGTTTCCTTCAGACACTCCAGGAGTTTTCTCTTGTTCTGCCAACTCCCTGATTCTGTCCAAATGTACAGGATTATGTTAAGTGGGTACTCTTGACCTATAGCTATGTTAGTGTGAATGCTTGTTAGTTTCCAGATATAACAAAATACTTTTTTACAGTGTATTGTGGGGAACACAAAGACATATAACAGCAGGTTTGTGTATGTGTTTTACACCTGTTTTATTTTTGACTAATCCAAGTGATGGAATTATTAATGTAGAAAATTGTGTAAGAGTGTAACTGAACACACTCAAAATGTCAGAGATTTAAATGTTAACACAGGCTGAAGGTGTAATCATGCTGCATGTATCTCTGTTAAAGAAGAGCAGCTGCTACAGTATGTAGGAGACGAAGCCACTTGGATGAACCTGCAACCCCCTCCCCCATATGTAAGCTTTGTTTATGTACTTCTATAGATCACTTTTCAAATATAAGTTGAGTGTTTCTACTTATGAAGAGGCCCCAAAAAGCAGGTGAAAACATCGTCCTTGGGCTAACATTGTAGCTGAACTGAAATAAAACTGGATGAACAAGTTTAGCACTAAGTTTCATTCAGTTTCAGGAGTTTTTCAATAAATGGGATGTATCTTTTTATGATATTTGTTATTCATGACTTGTGAAGGATAGCCCAACTCCCCACACTGCCTTTAACAGTAGCAATTGCCAATGGCACACATACACACACAGACACACACACTTTATATCATACTGGTTACTGTTCCTCTCACAGAGATGCAAAACATCTGTCATGTTCAAGTAATGTTTTTTTTTTACCTTTACAGGTACACTAGACTCACATACAGACACAATACTTAGTTTGTCATGCTGTAAAACCACATTCAGTCTTTGTCTTCACAAAAATCAAATTTACATCTAATATTTACTGTACACACTTGTCGGTGCTAGTATTCCAGTAAGGACTCCTAGAAAACCTCCCCATCAGTCTCCTCTTTACCTAGTTTAGTCCCAGCGCCCTTCCTCAAACGATAGCATTTACTTCTTGCCTCTATCCTTATCAGCATTTCAGGATCAGCGTTTGGTCTAATGAGGATTAAGATTTGGTTCCAGTGAGAACGATAAAGTCATTAGGTACAAGGTCAGGAACAGGTCATGATGAGTCAACAAAAACAAGATTGAACACACACACACACACATAAATTCTTACACCACCTACGCTGTTATGGTTATAGTTATTACAAATGTAATGCACACTGTTACTCTTTTATATGTGTACTTTGGTTATAATAATAATAATATAATAATAATAATAATAATATAATAATAATAATAGTACTTATTATGAGTGCTATTAACAATATTATACTTGATTATATTATTATTGTTTTTATTAGTAATGCATCATTAAATTTACAAGCTGACCCTCCAATTGATTTTTACATTTATTGTCAATATAGTAAACACAAAAAAAGATGTTATCAAATGCAGTATTCATTTTGTCATATCATTACGTCAATATAGTAAACACAAAAAAAAATGTTATCAAATGCAGTATTCATTTTGTAAAAATAACGTTTTTGTTTTTGGACATTAGTGAGTAGAGTATTAGTAGTCTAGGGTCCAGTAGAACCACTTCCAAAAAGAACTTCATTTGACTAGAGCGAGAGAGAGAGAAAGAGAGAGAGAGAGAGAGAGAGAGAGAGAGACGGCCCCTGACTGACCATCGACCACCCGGACGCAGGGGCTGAGAGTAGAGGGAGAGATTGGGAGAGGGAGAGGGGGAGTGTGTGTGTGCGTGTGTGTGTGCGCGCGCCGCCACTGGTCGCCCCCAGTGCTCTTCAGTGTGTACTCCACCGTCTTAACGTAGACTAAACGTCACGTCCGCACTTGAACTTGTGTTTTTGTCTCCAGGAGCCAGAAAGGCAGTGACAGAGAGTGTTCCCGCTCAGGAGAGCAGCCGTGCACAGAGCTGCAGCTGAGGGATGCACGCTGAAGTCAGGGTGCCAGTGTGTTCTCAAACCATCCCTGACTGCCATGACTGTCCATGTCTCATCCTGAAGCCTGGCTCAAGGGCACTACACCTGTAGCAGAACAAGTGGCCACTGCTCGGGACACCCCGTCATTTGTAATTGTTTCCAGAGGTGACACTGGACACATACACTGACCTTTGGTCAGGAGCTGACCGCCGAACTACTGAGCACCACCGAGACTTGGGCTCTTCCTCCCCGGTGTTTCCCCCTCTCCTCGTCTCGGTACAGGTGGCCGCACAGTAACCGAAGCACAGAAAGAACTCTCAGCGAGCAAGAAAGGCGCACGACTATTTTGGCACAGCGGCGGGGAGACTGTGGATCTGACCGCCAGGCGCTCGGGAGCCGTCGCCCACCCGAGACTAAACAGTGGCGGACAGAGGTGTCTTCCAGTACTGTACGTCGGGGACGGACTGTCGTATTAGTGGAGGGCAGCCGCCGCAGGGAAGGGGCATTAGGAAGAGAAGACCATCCCAGCGCGATACCGATGTAAATGTCGGTGCGATGTCCCGACGCAAGCAGGGAAACCCACAGCACCTGTCTCAGAGAGAAATAACACGTAAGTAAAGCTGCAAAACATCACGCAACACCACACGTTAACACCGCGCAGAGATACATTGTATTTATTTTCATGACATTTATTTGTTGAGCGTTGCTTCCAATATCATCTGTGCGTAAAAGTCAATTGCCGAAGTTGCGACGAAAACGTTTGACACATCGCATACCTGAACAAATGATGCCTTTTCACAACTGTGTCCCTGAAGTACGCATTTCACTGTAGACACTGAAATGACAGGATATTTGAACGTTTAATGTCAAAAATACGCCAGTTTTTATGGTTAAATCACAGTGTCTTTTACTCTCAGTAGTATAGTATTTCAAATGGGTTACTGAAACGTGTGTGTGAGAGGGGAGAGATGTATTGTTTTTTGTTTTTGTTTTTTTATAAATAATGTAAACAATTTAAAACGCCCTGTGACTTTTGGAGGTCTTTGAATGCGTCGTGAGAGGCGGGAATTTAATACATTTACTCCGAACGCACTTTAAGGTATGGTATAATTATAATATATTTAATTATTTTAATTGAATGTTTTTTTTTGATGTAGAGGGAACTGCATATAATTCCCATCGCAATTTTTTTATTTTATTTTTGTCAGTTAGTTACGTTCTTTTACGTGTGCAAACGTTACCATAATTTAAAATGCCTCTGGACACATTTGACAAACATGACATTTTTCATGGTGATTTAATGTAGGAAAAATATTTAAAGCTGAAATTATACGAAAGTCAAGGTTATTGTTTTTCTTTGTTTGTTTTTGTTTTAACTTTCGCGATCACTTCAGCTGTCGATTCGACCCGACATGCCTGTATTCTTTGTTCATGCTGTGTCGATGAAGTAAAAGGATGTCGATTAATTACCGATACATTTCCCTTTTCACCTGTTGTTGTTGTTTTTGTTTTTTCAATTAGACCTTCGTGTTAAATCAGATTCATATAATTTGCAGCCGAGTACAAAACACACATGTCCGTGGATACAAACATTACAGGCAGTGGGCCGTGACTCGTGGGCCTGGACATTGGCGTAGTACTACAGTACAGTAGTGATACTTTTATAATGAATACATTCACATGTCTGGAAGCAGGAAAATTTTATTGGTGTGTGTTTGTGTGTGTGTGTGTGTGTGTGTGTGTGTGTGGGGGGGGGGGGGGGGGGGTGTAGAGCTACATGCTTGGTACTTCCTGTGTCCTCAGAACAGGAACAATCACACATGGTCCTAATGATCATTTTAAACCGCATTTCAACATATTGTGTGTTAAACAGTCTCTCACCACCTAAACACAAAGTCAGAAACAGTCTCTCACCACCTAAACACAAAACACTTGAGTTCTAACTATAGCTGTGTACACACATAAGCACACAGAGAGAGGCAGGGAAGGAACACATGAAGTAAATTGGTTTGTTATGAAAGGTACACAATACTATATATATATATATAACAATAATAACAGACATGTACGTGTTTGTAAAATGTTGATGTTTTGAATTGTAATATGGCTTCAGGCTGATTCAAAAGAGATATTTCATAACAACCCTAATTTTTACTTTAATGTCTAGCACCGAACTATTTATTATTTTTTATAGCAGTGATACAATTTTTAAAAAATCACTAGCCAATCAAAGAGGCTGCAATTTATTTTTTCTACTTATTTTATGAACGTTGAAAAAATGTACATCTGAGATTGGGTTGCGTCAGGTGTAAAACTCAAGCTGGACTGTAGGTGGACTAGCTCTGTGGAGACTGACAAAGTAAGGACAAGAAAAACCAAACACACCAAACAGACATGCTTTCTGGAATTAATGAATTTTGTTTTATTCTGTTGAAGGTAATGCACTAGAAAACACTTGTCTGAGTCCTGATTGTTCAAGAGCAAGTTTATGAAAATTATATATAAAAACAAACAATAGAAAATGACCAAATGGGCTCAGAGTCAACTTCAGTCTCTTCAGCTGCAGGTGTTTGGCCTATAGGCCTGAATCAATGTCCAACTACAACATAGTTAGTCGAGCCCAGATCCAAGACAAGTTCCTTTTATGATTCAAAACAACAACAGAAATACATTTCTGTTATTAAAAATAACACACACATTCAAATAAATACTCGAATGCAGCACAAATAATCCAAGGTAAATAAGTCAAGAGGGTCAAAGGAACCTTATAGTCATAAGTGAAAGTGCCATTGTCACCAACAGCCTGTTTATGCATCACTGTTATATAGATTTATATACAGTAGGTGGCTTGCGATCTGTGATGACTTTTAGTAGAAATCATAAAAACATTAGATTTTATTATCTAATGAAATCTTTAACTTCTAAAATTACCAACATAACACTTGAAAAATATATGCAGAAATGATAAACTGGTTTCAGGTGCAACTTTAAGATCTCGGTCTGATGAACCAGATGAATCCGTGGCAGTATTCCCTGATGGGTAATTTACAACCTGACTACAATTAGAGAGGCACAGTTGGTTTAAAAGTGATTTCTTTAAATCTATCACTCCTACAGCGTCATTTCAAAGACGAGAGATTTTGCCAAGTTTTTTCAATGCTAGTTATGATAATTCAAATTTGTATGTGTAATACTACCCATAAATCAATAGACTCTTAGAATAGAACATTCAGCTCACACCTGCTCACATCTAAAGATCTTCTTGTTCTGACTGTCAGGTTGTTTTGTTTCTGCTTTTGTCAGGGTCCATCTATTGGTTGTTCATTGTGTTGAACAAATTCCAAACATTTAGCAAAGAACTTTCACTTTTAGTCTGGGAGTGTGAATATCCGTTATACTTTATGTGACATAACTGTTCTCTGTTTTATGGACAGCTGAGGGTGGACACCCAGATGTGAGCTTTTTCGCCGACTCCTTAATGCCACATCAACTTTGTCTACCTCCTCACGCTTTGGAGTCCAACCTGGCCAATGTCCTGCCACCCAGCCTGCACACTGACCATGACATGCTGACTTGTGGCCAGTGCCAAATGACGCTTCCACTGGGCGACATTCTTCTTTTCATTGAGCACAAGAAGATGAAATGCCAGACGATGCTGCTAGCCAATGGCTGCCATGACAAGATCAGCGACCGAGGAGGAGAGAGTCCAGCCCAACAGGGGGTCCTTCACCTCAACCAGGGCGGAGAACAGAAACAGGTAGTGGAGCCAGTAGAAATCGGCATTCAGGTGACGCCAGAGGAAGAGGAGCAGTTGGTTGAGGAAGGAAGAAGAGGAGAAAAAGTTGAAAAGAGGATGAAGACACCCAGCAACGGAATTTGTCTCAAGCAGGAAAATACCCTGGCAGGTAGGCTTCATCAGGACACGCTTTGTGATTGCACTGTATTATAGTTGAGAACCAGGCGACAGTCTGTGGGTCAAGACTAAATATCTCACTTCAGTAACAATTTGTAAGAAAAATTAATTGTCTGCTAATGTGGTAATGAGAAGACTGAACTCAAAAAGAGCCTTCCATTAGTCCCCCCAAAACTTTGCAAATAAAAACATGTTAATAACTATCAATTTTGTATTCAGGCATGACCATTTCCAGATAACCTCTAAAAACCTCGTAGGTGAACATTGTTTGCTAATGCTAGGCCTTAGCACTGAGTATGTAAATGTTATTCATTTATTTTAATAAATAAGATTTATCATTTAAGGTTTAATCAACAAACTTTTTTGCTTTTAATAACAAATCATTCAATTTTCAATTAAAATAAATATACTGTATAATTGGATATATATTTGGTCTGTTAAAAATACATCTTCTCAGATTTTAAACATAATTCTGTTAATAAATTAATTCTGATTATATAAACGGTTTTTACATTTTTAAATGTATGTAACAGTGATTCTTAACTGGTGGCCCACGGGCCAAATCCGGCCTACAGAAAGGTCCAATTTGGCCTTTCTGATTCTATCAAAAATGTGATTTTAATTTAATTTAATTTAATTTAATTTGATTGTCTGGCCCTAAGGTGTCTGTCCAGAAAAACTCTGGTCCTTTATACTATCATTTAGAAAGCATCCATTTGTAATCCCTGACTCCAAACTATTCCTATAATTACTAACATGTTTATTAAAAAGGAAGTTTCATTCACTCTTCACCGGCTGAACCGTCAAGACCTTTAGGGTTAAAAGGCTCCCTTGCTGTATTTTGACGATGTTATAAAAGCAGATATTTAATTATGCAACATTGGAACCACAGAGCAGAGTCTACAGAGTATAGCTGACTCATGTTAGCAGGTTGGCATACCTGAACTGAATGGAAGAAAGAGCCAATGGAAGGCACAGACTCACAAATATGTTATAATTTAGAAATCAAATTTCTTTTTTGAGTGATATTAGGAGTTTTAAGTTATTCACAAGTTCAAGTTTACCTACATACTAATGTTTTTCTGAGAGGTATAGACTAGACCTTCTGGGAGAATGACTTAAAATTAGGGCTGCACCCATGAATCAGAGGAACATTGGCATCGGCCGTTGTTCGCTGTCGGGAAATATATTACCGTCTAATCAATCACAAATATTGTAGTGTCCCTCAGCACAAAATGATGATACTGCCAAGAGCTTCAGACTCGGTGTTTAATCAGCCAGGAGTACACAGCCTACTGTAGACACCTCCAAGACAACAAAACAACTCCTTATATTCACCGCGGATCACTCCTAACTCCTCTCTCTCTCTTGCTCAGCCTCTGGCTCCACATACACACACATACACACACTCCCGCCCACCTTCCACCGACTGAACCATTGTCATGGGAACAACATGACTGACAGACTTCTCAGTCACTTCATGTCAACACCTTGACTGGGAAAAAACTGGGAAAACATAGTACTTTTACAATTGTTTTTACATTTATTTTTGACGAATTTTTATTTTCCACAAAAATATTTTTTATTGGTCAATGTAGGCACTAAAAAAATCTGATTAAGTTTTCTGATTAAGGCCAAAACCAATCAAATAATCATGTATGTGGATATGTATATGGAATTGTAATACATATTTTCTTATGTGCTGCAGGTGGCAGGAGTGAGCCTTCAAGTTATATATGTACCACATGTAAGCAGCCCTTCCCAAGTGCATGGTTCCTACTGCAGCATGCCCAGAACACCCATCGCATTCGTATTTATCTGGAATCAAACCCCACCAGTGCAGTCCTCACCCCACGCATTACGATGCCCCCATCTATGGGCAGTGACTCGATTTCACACTCCCCCCTTACCAATTTCTTTGGGAACAGCAGTCCATTTCACCTCCTGAGGATGACAGGTCCCCTGCTACGAGAACCTCCTCTTCCAGGCTTCGTGGATAATCGCTTTCCTAACACACCGCCATTTGTCAGCCCTCCTACGCAGCACCAACTGGACACTCATCGGTTGAAGCATCTAAGTGCAGAGGAAATGGGACTCACCTCCCAGCACCCTAGTGCCTTTGAAAGGGTTATGCGGCTAACACCTACAGCCATGGAGTCCCAGTCCATGGATTTCTCCAGGCGGTTACGGGAACTGGCAGGTACCACTAACAGCACCACCCCACCTGTGTCACCCAGCAGAGCAAACCCTATACACCGACTTCTGAACACCAATCCTTTCCATACTGGATCAAAATCTCCTTTTCTAAGCACACCGCCCCTACTACAGATGCCCCAAAATAACACCACCCCTCCACATACACAGAGCAAGGTCAAGTCGTGTGAGTTCTGCGGTAAGATCTTCAAATTCCAGAGCAACTTGGTGGTACATCGGCGAAGTCACACTGGTGAAAAGCCTTACAAGTGCCATCTGTGTGACCACGCCTGTTCTCAGGCAAGTAAGCTGAAGCGCCATATGAAGACACATATACACAAGCCTGGTTCCCTAACAGAACGCTCAGACGATGGACTGTCCACCACCAGCTCCCCAGAGCCAGAAAACAGGGATGTCACAAGTGTGGGCTTACAGAGCCAGAATGGGAACTTCCACGGACAAGGTAATGATGAAGAAGAAGAGGAGGAAGAAGAAGAACTTGAGAATGACAGTCGGCCAGAATCCAACTTTAGCATGGATTCTGTGTTATACCGAAACAGGGAAAATGGGTCAAAACCAACGTCAGAAGAGAAATCATTACATAGCAAAATGGTAGAAGGTGGGGTGTTCAACACACTACATCAGTATGACAATTTGATATTTGACAATCATAACAGGTTTCCCATCTCCAAGCGGGGGTCAAACACACAAGATATTAAGAATGAGGACCCTTTGGTTGATGAAATGGACAACCAGAAGCAGGGTGAGAGGGCAACTCTAAATGGTCGAAACTGTGGCACCGACGTCTCTTTTACAGGCCTGTTTGCTCGTAAGCCTACACCGATCACCAGCCCCAGTCTGTCAATTTCTTCGAATAAAAGAATCAAAACGGAGAAAGAGTTAGACATTCCCCCAGCACCGCACATTCCCTCTGAAAACGTCTACTCTCAGTGGCTGGTAGGCTACGCTGCTTCCCGCCACTTCTTCAAAGACCCGTTTCTTGGTTTCACTGACTTGAGACAATCTCCGTTTGCCACCTCTTCAGAGCATTCATCAGAGAATGGCAGTCTGAGGTTTTCTACCCCACCTGGCGACCTGCCGGATGGCGGCCTGTCAGGTCTCAATGGCACCGGCAGTGAGCGTAGCACGCCTCATCTGGGTGGGGGCCCTGGCTCTTGCAGACCGAGCTCCAAGGACAGTAAAAGATGTGACACCTGTGAGTTTTGCGGCAAAGTTTTTAAAAACTGTAGCAACTTGACCGTGCATCGACGCAGCCACACTGGTGAGAGGCCCTACAAGTGTGAGCTATGCAACTACGCCTGTGCTCAGAGTTCTAAGCTCACTCGCCACATGAAGACGCACGGACAGCTTGGCAAGGAGGTCTACCGCTGTGACATTTGCCAAATGCCCTTCAGTGTGTACAGCACCCTAGAAAAACACATGAAAAAGTGGCATGGAGAACATTTACTGACAAACGAGCCCCAAATTGAACAGGGAGACAGGACCTAATACACGTTCTGTGCCACACCTTGGGGTTGTTACTGTGTCTTTGCCTGAGAACTGCCAAAAGAGAAAAAAGTAAAAGAAGAGTTCTCTTCTGTCTTCATGAACCCAAGCTGTCAAAACAGATTCATTTAGCATTTCTTTTAAAAAAAATATCAGTTAAGGTATAAATAACATGTGTGGCGCCTTTAACAGTGCAATAAGTTTTGTATTTATTGAATTTTATATTTTGGCATGTGCGGGTACCCTTCTTTTCCCGTTTAAAAATTGTTTTGTGTTGACTTTGTTATACACTGTTACCATCATGATATCCAAAGAGTTAGAAAATGTCAAACCTTCAGCCAGTTTTTGGCTGTTACATGTAGGGAATTTTATATCAGGCTAAACCTGTGATCTGTTGAAGAGCAGCTGTGTTTAATATTCAAACGACAATGTGTGATCATTGAGAATGCTAAGTGTGTAATAGTAATGATATCAAGCGGACAACAATCCTTTGACATAGAATCATCAACTGACTCTTAAAAACATGTTCATGTTAAGTGTGTATCGCTGGTGTGTGTCTTTTTAAATAATATAAGAGAAGAAATCATGTAAAATCAAATGGAAATCATTGACTCCAGAAGATGAATTCCCCAGAAGGCAGCTGCTGATGTACTTTAGTATATACCACACATACTGTACTGTAGTACCAACTAGGGATGGCTAGATCTGATACTCGGGATAGGTATCGGTCTGATAAAAAAAAAAAAAAAAAATCAAGGTCAGAAAAACAACTATAACTGCTCTGATCCAACACCTAAGTCCAAAGGCCCGACTTAACTTTGCGCTATATGTCGTAAAACAAAAAGAATCTGCAGATACTCTGCAGTACGAGAATCAGACGTGACAACTCTTTTCAGTTCTCTGAACCCCCAAACCTACTACCGTTTTAGTCACAACAAAAATATTTACATAAAGCCATATGATATTTTTAAAGTGAACACAGAGCCATCCATAACATACAAACACAAAACAGAAGCCACGACAGTTAGGGCAGAGACATCTCAGGGTAAGCAACTCAACCACCGACATGGTTTGTATTTCCATACAAAAAAATTTTTAAATTTACAGAAATAACCTGCATCCACTTAGGCATCTGTAGTTGTCAGTGGTATATAGAACAAGAATTCACTGTTATTTCTTAGTACACATTTTATTGAGTGATAATAAAATTAACATGTTGTGGACTTCACAGTGACGTCAACTGCATATTTGTTGTTTTTTTCCCCCAGTTTCCCAGTCCAAAAACCTGCTGTTTGGAACATAAGTTAATTGGTCACTGACCTGACCACAGGTGTGAATGTGAGTGTTATTGTTTTTTCAAGGTCATGAGCTTCTGTGGTTTTTAACTGATTTACACCATATTGGCGGGGACTCAACGACCCCCAGACATTTGATATATATGAATGGATGAACATGACGCTCCACAAAAACATTAAAGTGTGAGTTCAAGTACAAAATATTTGCTGAATTTTTTTATATGTTTGTTATAATTTTGATGACATTAAACTATTTTCCGTCCACTTCCATCTTATAGACTTCTATTCCAAGGCTTTAACCTGGTAGTAGCAGAAAAACTAGATAAAAAATAATGAAACCAAAAAATAATGGCTGGTTAAAATGGTATAATAAAACTTTACAAATCAATTGAGGATGATTTGATTTTTCAACATTAATTATCTGTACTTGTAATTTATTTTATTTCCATTCTCACAGAGACTCACAGGATTTTGAGCAAGTAGGGTTAACCTTTGCACTGCTCGGCAGATAGTGTTTAGCACATGAGAATCACCTGTTGTGATTAATCCATACTCAAGGTGGACTCTAACTTCAATTTTAAGGGCTTTGGGCTCTTTTTACTGAAACTATGAGACTACTATTATTTGGATGAACTTCCTGACGTAACTGGAAGAGAAACTGATTATTTTTACGTAAAACATTATTTACATTGATTAAAATATTATTATTACTATAATAACAACAATAACAATAATAGTAATTATTATTATTACTATTATTATCTTGACTAAATTTTCCAAGAAAAAACTTTCTGAGTATGCAGTTCAGTACTGCTATGTCCTGCTGTGTATATATGTTTGCATATGTACATAGAAAGACAGAAACATATAGTTACTATATATGCAGTATCAAATGTCCATTTCCTCACAGGAAAATAATACTTCCAGAAAACCAGAATGAATAGAAGCCACAAATAATCCCTTCAGTCCCGGACAGGAATCAGCAGAACAGTATGAGTGCAGTCTTTTCTTTGACTTTAGACTCTAGACTATTCGTCATTCTATATGTGTGTACGTTTCTTTTGCAATTTTAATCTGATTCCCAAAAATGTTACCACCACTGTGTGTAAAAGTCCTAGATCTTAGTGATATTTTTTAGCCTGGAGTGTATTGACATAAAGTAAAACAAAAACAGAAAATACATGTTTTAACATAAACAGAGCTGTTATTTGGTGAGGTGTTTAGGGGTTTCTGGTGTCGGGGTTTGAGTGCAGGTAGGATTCTAGGAATCAAAATGACAACGTTGTTTTGGAATTGATTATCTTTTCTGCGTGATTTAAAAAGAATCACTGGAAGCGCTAACCTGGTCAATGTTTTCAACTTTGTTAGGTGTTTGGCTGTCGTGCCCCCCCCCCCATGACCAACCTATTGTAACTTTTCTAGTTCTTTTAAAAGGTTCCAAGGGATGGTTCTTTCTTCCCATCGACAAGGTTCTAACTTCCTAAATTTACAATTTCCGCTCTAATTTGGCAGATGTCTTAAATTTGATGTATTTGCACCGTAGTATTGAATAAAATTGTACAGACGAGGCTTGAAAACTGATGACCTTGTTCGACGACAAGTTGATTCTTTGTTTACATATGCTGTACATATTTTTCTACCACCAAGTCGGATTTGTTGTATGTTTTACTCGCTGATTTTATTTGTTTGTGATTATGAATACGCACTGGCAGCAAAGTTTTGTGTTTTGGGGGTGGGCGGCTGCTGTAGGTGGGGCTAGTGAGTCCCCTTTCTGAACTTCATCATCTTCATGTCGGTTTTCAGGCACATGCATCTCCTGTTGATGTTTTTCTCAGCATGAGAAATGAGCACAAATACAAACTGTTACGATACTCCGTCCTCTGTTTATCTGTCTCGTTTTTCCCCCCTCTTGTAGCTTAATAGAGCAAAACTGATTTTTGGCAATTAGCCTAACATTTCTAGTTAAAAGAAAAGGCCACTAGTTGGTACAGAAATTAGTAAAATTTTAATACACTTGATGATCAGCTTCTGGGTTCATCAAATTTGATCAATTTCCTTTATCAAAAACGTTTTTAGGAAACATTTGGTTTGTGAAACTTAGAGGTTTTCTTGCTGACATAAACCTGTAAATGATTGCAGCTCCTGGGATACTCTTTCTTTGGGCTTCTTCTTCTAGGGATGGTCACAGGAGAAGGAAGTCTGCCTGAATTTCAGTCTATCCTTTGTCTTTTCTACTGTTGGACCAATCATTGAAATACTGCAATACTATAGGCACAGTGAAACATTGAGTTTCAAAGAAAATATTTTCAATGATTGTAGGAAACCTGTTGGCATAGTAAACACAGAATGCTGTTACTAAAATTGGAACAGAGTTCATCTACATTTGATCTACAACACTAGAGGAGAAATAAAACCAAAATAAAATGAACCAAAGCCACAAATATTTGTATGTTAATTTACACTATTTACACTTACTAGAGTGTCTACACACTACATACAGTAAATCCAAAGTCTTTCCAAACTGTTTGACCAGATTTGGAATGTATCCCATTGTATAATGAAGAACCATTGCATTGAACAGGGCTGTCACTGTAGTTTTCAAAAAATATATTTGAGATAAATTAAGGTGATTTTGGTGGAATTAGGTCAGCTTTTTTGTGATTGGTTACAGAAGGTAAGTTTATTTATCAAAATGTTTTTCAGACTATATGTTAAAATACCTTGTTTGTTAGGACAGAAAACTAGAACATATATGTATTGAAAGATAAAATAAAGAACAATAATAATAATAATACTAACTACAACAATGATAATAATAATAATTATTGTTGTTGTTGTTGTTATTATTATTATTATGTATGCCTATGAGTGATACACAACTGCTGTAGTGGTACTGACCAACATAACAAGAGGCTCTGATTAAATGTCAAGTGTTCAGTGACAAAGTCATTAAGTATATTTTACGTCTTGTACTGCGTCAGTACTGATTTTGCTGGCAGGAAGTCTTCTAATTAAAGGTCAAAATTTAAAACCTTGAGAGGCCAAAAAGGTTAAGCTGCAGTTTGCATTTTGTAAGATATTTTAAAGGGAAACCCAACTTGATTGGCTCTCCAGGTTTATTCATTAGTTGAGCAAGCTGACTTGTCCTTATGTTTGTTCTTTGAATGCGTTAGGACAGATAGACAGACAGGTTCCTGAAGGCACCATGTTAGAATCGAATCTCTTTGAAACATTTTGTTTCTGCTTTGGGTCATTAGACCTCGGCTATACTCCCTTCTGGCACCACTGATCAACTACTCTTTATAACTGTAGTATTACTGTGGAGCCAACAACTAGAGTACAGTCATTATAATGAGTAGTATTCAGAGAATTTATTAAAGGTAAATGAAGGCTAAAAAAAAACGGAAAAACATGGGCACCTTTGGTGTTCCCCAACATTTCCATGTCCAGCCATATTTTGTGGCCTCTCCCTGATGCAAAACGTGTTTTTACCAGACTAAGTTATTCTAGAAATTGTAATATATGCAAGTCAAAAGAAAGTAGCAACCCATTTTTTAATATAGAGCACCAGAGCATCCAGAAACACACTTTTAATGATTCAGTTATGCAGTGCTTTTCTTGCATCTCCACATATGCAAAAATACAAGCACATTTAAATCAGACGGTTTTGGTGGGTTTATTCTACACCAAAACGTTGATCTTTTGAATTCTGAGGTTAAAACTTCAGTAATGAAAGTGACTCCCATTTGTTCAACTTTATTACCGCCAGCTCCAAAACAGAGCACAAATGATTTGGTCTGAATCATATACCAAAGCCTAACATTATCTGGCTTGACTTTCAGATTTCCCAGCAGGCCTTGCATGCCAATGCTTTCCGCCAAAATAAAAACCCTAATCCTTTCACGCCCACCTGCACCACTCCACTCTGTTCACCCCACATCTCACAACCCATTGTTAGATTCATCCAGGCTTTTCTACCTTTTATATGAACTGGTGGATATTTCCTCTGATGCCTGTGAACAGTAGAACGTTTGCTACTTTTTTTTTCTTGACATTCAAATTAGTAAGTAATCACTCCTGCCTTCCCAGCCCTCCTAGAAAATCAGACGCACTAAGGACCGATACCCAGAGGAACAAAGGGCACCAGCTGCACCCACTCGTCCTCATCAATCCCTTCATCCCTTCCTCTCTCAAGTCTGACTTCCTGAAATCCTCTCATACCTGGAAATCATTGATTTTCCCAGAAGCCATTTTTAATTTCAGCTCATTTAAAAAAAAATTGGCAAATAAAATTGTCAAAACATGCAATCAGGATTATTCAGCAGTAGTGTTATTTCATCACTGACACTGAAATCATCTGAAATCAGAGGGAGAGTCCATGGATCAACAATCAGTCACTACAGTAGAAAAGGCAGTTGTGGTAGAAAACCATCGGTCTTATTAGCCTATTAGTGTGTGTGTGTGTGTGTATGTGGGAGGGAAGGAAGTAATCTGGGTATAATTTGCACATCCTCTGTTTATGGCTAAGTTAGTACAGAACAAGTCAGTTAGACCCGACATTAAAGCTGCTAATATTTCTTCCTTTTGCACGTAAAAGTGACAACTAGTATAACGTAGACCCAGTAGGGGGCAGTCATTTTGCTCTAAGGACTTTGACAAACACAAAATAGCAAAACAATAAAAAACTTCTAATAAAAACGTAAGATCAACGATGGAATTTTAACACCTCACAAGAAAAAAAACCAAACCCATCCTTAAAGATAATCGTTTTTTAATAGTAGCAATTA